TATACATAGTGCAAAAAATGCATCTTATCGCGGCAACATAGTGATCCCTTTGTGGGCGATGATAGATAGTGGTAGATGATGGTAGACGGTGGTAAAATTGGTTAAAATTTTCTTTTCCTGAAATATATCTAGAAAATGAATATCATTTGGTAGGTCAAATGAACAACTTATACGGTGCAACTTTTTTTTTTTTTGAAATACGGGTGAAAACAAAGAGGTAGATGGTGATCGACATAATTAGTTCGCAAAATTTCCCCAAAAATTATATTAAGAATGAATATTATTTTATAGATTATAGTGTAGTTATCTCTTCTGTGCATTTTTCCCCCCTAAAATCGGAGTTATAAATAAAAAAAATTAATATTTGATTAAAAAATTATTTAATCCGAATCATCATATCTAACCCCATTCAAAATCAAGGGAGCAAAATAGGTTTTGCACTTGATACTATGGCCAAATAGTACACCTGGATGTTATGATGCTCAGTACTCATAGTGAGGTGGCGCTATTTAGATAATAATGATCAATTAACTCAAATTTGAAATAAAATACTATACTCTAATTTCTAATGATACATCAAATCTTAATTTTCAAATCCAAAGATTAATTTAACAAAATAATAATAATCAACTATTATATATGATTTGTGAAAGTACATCAATAAAAATATATGAACAAACAATGAAACAAGGGTTTGACCTAGTGGTAATACCATTAGGCTAGAACCTCGAGGTCCCAAATTCAAATCCCGTACCTTAATCACAAAATGATGAAACCTATATCACCATTATCAAATCAATAAAAAAATACGAGTTCTAAAATATTAATTAGGAATGATTCCAGTTATCTAATATTCGATTTGGTCATAGCAGCCGAATAAAAGCTTATCAGGTAAGGTCCAAACATGCCCAAACAACTTAAATTTCAATGAAACTAGCAGACATAACGTAATTTCCCGCAACCGACTCACCTAGCGACTCTTGAATTGGGATAATCGTAATTGTTGTATCCTGTTGATTTCCTCAGCACATTAAGATTCACCCTAGAACGGCAGAACGTATCGATGTTGAAGCAGTCGCGTATAGGGGTGGAAAATGGGGCGGGTTGGATTTGGTTAGCCACTTCCCAAAATCATAATTATTCTATTCATAATTCGCATCGCAATGGTTAGTGGATAACCACTATTTATTGCGATTTGGTGCGGTTTGAGTAAGGTTATTTATAAAAATTCATCTTTGCGGGCGCGGAGTTGTGGCACACCAATGAATCCGGGGTTCACAACACGATTATAGTGATATATTGTTGTGTTAAATCTTTGCAAATTTGTATATCTTATTCAACGTGTGGATTTTGTCTTTTCGATTTTGGTATTCTACCTTTGTGTTAGAGGGAGAAAGAGACTATAATTTTTGCTTTACAAAATGCAAATTAATCTTACATAACACACTCTATAAGTTTGTATGTGAATATTGGGTTATTTTAGCCTTTTACAAAATTCGTCATTACTACGTATATCATAAACTAACTAATAATAATAAGCATGATGGACTTAAATGTAAAAAAGTTTGTTATACTAAGTGGGTATAGTGGGGTTTGTAGGGTAACCATTGTGTTAGTGGATAATTCTCGTTGGGAAAGAAAGTGGTTATTTGCCTTTCTATCAAGCCAATGAAAAAGTGGGGTGTGGTGTTCTCTCTCATTCTCATAAAGTCTGGACGACTGCAGTGGCCTGTGTCTCACCAAACAAGTGCTCAACCAGCCGCAGAGAGGATAATCACTGGAAATCGATCAGTAGCCGAGGAGAGAAAACCACTCGACCGATAGGTTTAGAAATATGTGTTAATCACTAACCACACAAGTTGGGATTATGCTAATTGCATCCAACTCATTACCCACAAATTGTGGGTGTAGTTAACCACAATGCGTGTGATTTGTGGGTTATCTACAAACCACAAATCAAACTTTCACCCCTAGTCGTGGCTATGCGACTTGTGTTGTGTGTAACACCTTAGTTCTTTTTCTTCTTTTTTCTAATGAATGTTGCTGCTGTTTGCGGCAGAAGGGGTTTTTTTCTTTAAATATTAATTTTATTAAATGAATTTCCTAACCTAGCGTCCTATGAAATTTATTTTCCAAATTATCACGGTGTTCTCTTTGAACCAAGAAACACATCAATACCAATAGCACCAGAAAAAAAAAAAAAAATTAAAACACATAATAACCTAAAATCTTAAATTAGAGAACTTTTTTTTACTATGGTTGGCTAGCTCATTAACTCTCTTGTAAGTATTTCTTTGGTGTTTGATATTTTGACTTACATATTTTGATGACTTTAATTCAAGATTAACAATTCATTTTAATTTCTGTCTATTTTACAAATGAAGTATAATTTTAAAATCGCAAGCCAAATATCAACGACTTGAATATTGTATATTGAATTACAGTACTAAATGTGTAGACATAAAATTCTTAACATATTATTAATTTTTAGTCATATAATAAAACAATGATATTTTTATGCAAACTATAAGTGACCAGTTCTTTGAAAGTTTTAGTTCGTTTAACCACTACAGATTATATCTCTTGATAATTTGGCATGATTGGACCAATTGACTTTTTTATTACCCAGGAACCTCAGCCACACGTGTCACTTTGTGACAGCGGGTCCTACTAAATCTAGATGCCACCTGCAATCAAATTCGACGCCAACAGGCTTCGCTCCCAGCTGCCTTGTACCTCCAGGAACACCAACATGCCTCGTTTGGATTCGAACCTGGGATATGCAACTCCCAAGCCTTCACTGTCGCGACAGCTTTACCGTTAGGCTATCTTACCTTTGGTGAACCAATTGAGTTTAAAAGAACACAATTTATAACAACCAGTTTTGTAGATTATTTCAGTTATTTAATTCTTTTATCTTATAGAGTAATTAACCATATGTATCATTTATAGTTATTTAGTTTAATATGAACTAACTGCGTTAAAAGACAAATCATGAAATCGGGCATAAATGTTCATGAACGCATTGATGTGCTGATATATAGTAGCATGATGAGTACCACAAGATAGATTTAATTATACTTGTTGAGGGAATAAGGTTGTCATTCAATTAAATTTCGAGTATATAGAATGCAAAATATTTTTTTTATGATATAGAGTATGTATGAAGATGCAATTTTCTTATTAATTTGTTATTGAATTGTTTAGAATACTTTAAGATTTAGATATTAAAATATATGTATTGCGCCTCAAGTAAGAGAAACAATATTAGCTAGAGGTTATGGTATGTTTACTATTTATGATACCTTTTTTCAGACAAACACTTTCTTTTTGTTATATCAAATTTTTATTGACATATCAATTTTCTTTTCAACCATAAACAACTAACTGACTGCATTATTAAATAGACAAGTGGTGTTATTACTATTAAGAATACAATATTCAGTCATTTGATAAAAGGTTATCAGAATTTCAAAAATTGAAAAATAATTTTGATCTCACTTTAATGTCATTTGAAGATTAACCCTTTCAAAATAATTTAATAATCACTACAACAAAAATCCATATATAGCGGCTAAGAGAATTTGCCTCTATAAGTCTTTTATTTGCTTCTGTATATATTTAGAGGCAGATAATACATTTCCCTCAAATACTCTAGTGACTATAGCTCTATAGAGGCAAATATAGCGGCATATATTATGGGGTCGTTTGGATGTGGAAATTTGACAACGTGGAAATTTTTCTGAATTGCTATTTTTACAAAACCAAGGAATTAACTTGTGGAAATTCAAGAAAATCCCACGTTTGGATATGATTAATTTTGTGGGAATTGATGGTGTGGAATTTGGTAAAAATACAAAAATGCCCTCTTTTGTTTATATACGTACCCCTCCTAAAGGTTGTTGTTGTGTTCTACTAACTACTAATTGCTGCTAATTTAAGCATAGTTAGTAAAAATATGGTACGGAAAAGTTATGTATAAAATACGTACGGGTATTTTACTTCCTCTCTAAGTCAATGTTACGTTTAATAGTACGTTAATAGCCATAAATATACAAACTTAATTATTTTAATAATAAATACATATGTAAATAATAGTAAATTTAACAATTTAATTAATTAAATAAAGATATTAAACATGTTATACGAGTTTTATACGTGTTTAAGTGAATTCAATGAGGAGAAGCAGGAAAATCGATGGCGAATGAGATAAGTAAGCGAATCCAAAATTAAGATATCGACGACGGATTAGATGAGATATACGAAGGTGAGGGGAGATGAAGAAGAAGAGGCGCCATTGATGAATGAAGAATAAGGTGCTACTCTTGTAAGAAATAGTTTGGAGAAATCGGAGAAGGAGTAAGGAAGAAAGGAGAGGAATGACATAGGGACACATTTGGAAATTGAAGGAAGAAAACGTGGTAATGTCAAATTACTAGGGGGATGTGTAGTATTCTCAATTTCCATGAATGTGGTAATTGTAGTCAATTTTCACGGTTCAATTTCCATACCCATTTTGCTCTCCGAAACGTGGAAATTTAACCCAATTACATCATTATGTGGTAATTGGGTCCAATTACTGCATTACATTTCCACATCCAAACAACCCCTATAAGTTGCTGATTAAGGATTCTGTGACTGATATTTTAGCTGCTAATGTCACTTTCATTTTGCCTCTATATCCAATATTATTTGCCTCTCAAATGATCTTTAGTAGCTATTAAACTTGCCTCCAATATTCTATAGAAGCATATATATTAGTCTATGAACTTAGTTAATGAGGCTACGTAGAGGCAAATAGTTTTGCCTGTGAAATTAACTTTTAGAGGCTAATAAACGTGCTTGTGTATTGATTTATTGTAAAAAAAGAGAGAATAGATTCAGAAATATGAATATATTATACAACATTACATTGATATAATAATTGAACCACAGAGTAATGAGTGTACAACTTAAGATTGAAGAGAAAGAAAATGAGAGTACATAAGTGCGAAAATTAGATGCCGCTTAACATTTCATTGGGGCAAATATCAGCAGCTAAATCAAGAGGAAATAAGTAGTCATGAAGAGCTGCACTGCTGTACATAGCTGCAAAAGAGAATTCAACTCTCTAATTAATTCTCGAAGTATTCCAACTCCTTGTGCATCCTAGACTTGACTTTCTAGCAAGATCATAAATTTCAACTCGATCGACTCCTCTTCGTACCTGAAGATAAGCAAGATTATAAATGAATCAACTGAACTGATACTTTGGTAAAACTACGATCATCATAAATGATAGCATTTTAAGAAATGAATCCAAAATCAAGTTTATCATCATCACTCAACCCACTACCAAATCACACCATTAAAATATGAAAAGAGTATTATTTAACTCAGTTACTAATTGCAAATCCGGATAGAGTTACCTCTTGTAGCCAAGTGCCATCCATGTGTGGGAAATTCTGTTCAAAGTGCCCTTAGTGCTAGCAATAGCAAGAAGCAGGCCATCCGGTGATGCTTTTTTGTTTATCTCCAGGGTAACAGTGAGTTTCCCTCTTCCCACCACCAAATCGAAGCAGTAAATCAATCCACAATCTACTGAATTGAAATACTGTGGATCTTCTTCAACCCTGGCTGGCATCCGGGGACTGTAGGAAAAAAAAGAGTTTTGTGCAGGAACTCCGAGGCTCTAACAAGACTGGAAGGAATGGATGCAATTTCCAGACAAGAACCATGGATTAACGAGCACAACGATGATTAAAGAATAATCTAACGATAAGTAAAATCATTAATCAAATCCAATAAGGTAAAATCGCATCAAAGAAGTTCCCCTCCCCTGCAGATGATTCAATTTGCGAGTGAACGCCTCCAGAAGGAACGCTCTTCACCGCCGATGTAACACGGTGTTGAACGACTTCGTCTTCATCGCTGTGTCGCTTTCTTTCGGAAGGGATGAGATTGGATGAAGGAAGATTGTGGGAGCCGAAGGGGAGGGTGGGCATGGATCTGGTTGGGGTTCCTTTCCAGAAGAGAAGAGATCGGGACAGAGATGGAGACAGAGTGGGATGAAAAGAGGGGTTGTAGATCTAGTTAAGGGTGTTTGGTAGCGGAGGAGGGAAGCGACCAAGAGTGGTATGTTTGTTTAGAGCGGATGATCGAAAGGCGGAAAGGGGGAAATTAGCTTCCAATGAGAGTAAAGCTGCCTCATTCTACGAAGTAAAGTAATCAACTTTCTCCTTTTTTTATTCGATCAAAGAGGGAAATTACCTTTCTGTGTGAGTCACAGACTCTTAATCTTCTCACAAAAAAAGGACTCTTAATCAAAAGCAAAAAATTCAAAATCTCGAGTCCAAGCCCAAAACAAAAAAGAGCGCTCAAACTCCCGCCCTCCAGCAAGCAGCTCACAATTGCCTCTAAAACTGGTAGTTTCAAAAAAAATTAGAATGTGCCACTAAAAGTACTAATTGATTTTATGTAGTTAAATTAATTATATAATTAGAGGCACAATTCAGGCAAATTTATATTTGTTGTATATATACAATATCTAGGGGCAAATAATAGTACTTATAGAGGCAAATTCAATATTTGTTGTGAATAAGGTCTTTTTAAAGGCACTTACAAATTCTGCCTCTATTATTAGCCACTATAAATCAGTTTTGTTGTAGTGAATCTTAGGATACACATTGTAAATACATTATATTCAATTGATATTCTGACCAACGGATCAGACACCAAACTAGTGCAATTATAACAAAGTTGGGAGCATTTTTTCAGCATTTTCAATTTCCTGCAACAAGAGCTTTCTTCTGGCTTCATCAAATTCTATCTAATATATTATTCATTAAGGTCTCTTTCATTTTTCCAAACAAGTATCTCGAACTAAAATAACAAAGTAACAATATGAAAATATCAAGTGTGAAACATCTTTCAAAATTTGAAAACAACAAGAGAGATAGAGTTACCAAAAGGGGATTTCCTAAAATTACTCACATAAAAAAATTTATTGTGTTTGTTTCCACTTTTTCTTCTAAATCTTTTCATCAACTTTGCCCAATAATGAGATTGCATGGTTGCTCATGAGCTCTCCACCATTCCCTAATCTTTTCATCAACTTTAAGTTATAATTAAAAAAAAAAACATACATAATTTAGGGGTGATAATTTCTAAAACATTTTCTTAACCTTCAGTATAAACTACTATTCACTCTAAAATCTAACAGTTATAAAATCTAAAATCCAACTTACAAAAATATTAATTACACCTCATTATCAGGCGTTTTGTTTCAATATGGATGTCAAATTAAATAGGATACTGAGGCTTCTTTTATTATGAGGTTCTTCATCTATTGAACGCGATAAATCACATTATTAGTAAATGTTAATCACTTAAGTTGCACATCAAACAACAAAGTAATCACTTGATGCATCTATGGTGTAACATCCTCATCCCTATCGAACATGTCATATGTCATGCTCGCATCAATGTGACGTCATCCCAATATTTTGGTGAGTTTAAATCATGAACGAATAGCAAAACTTTGAAGGAACCAGAAAATTTAGGGAAAATTAGAGCTGGAGAATTGAGAAGGAAAGAAGAAGGAAAGGATGAGAGGAATTGAGGAGCTAAATTTTTCATTTTGCAGCAAGGCAGTAAGTCAAGAGGGGATTCCAAAAACACCAGTTGTTGGATCGTTCGCAAATTTGGAGGGCGTGTTTCATACTTTATGCTATCTGATCTGACTATTGGGATCGTCATTATGATCTCTGGTTCGTCGAGAAATGTTGTTGGTCAGACAACGTGCGATCCTGTTTTCCTGTAGCTAGGCAGTTCGTTCCGGAGAGGATTCCAGAGAAACCAATCATTGGATCGTACTCCAATTTTAAGGATCGGTTCAAGACTCACTGTGTGTCTATTTTACCATAAGGATCAATGTTCTGAATGTTGGTTTGTCGGGAGACAATACTGGAGAGAGAGTGTGTGAAATTTGTTGAAACTCCTTCAACGGGAAATGTTTTAAATGAAAACGGATAAAAAACGCGTCTTTGACCTTTTTTAGCATTTTTACTGCTTTTTACCATTTTTAAAACATTTTGTGCACAATACGTTTTTATATAGAAATTAAAGCCTTTTGCCTAGTATGAAATGTAAAAATATGCGTTATTGTTTTAAGACGTTTTTTTTTTACTATATTGGGGCTAACTATGAATTGATTGGTATGTATTATTCATTATATGTATTACGGATCAATGTATTAATTTTTCTCACATATGAATTATATTGATTAAAATGATTAACTCATTAACCTAATCGATTGAAGTTTAGGATGATTAATTTAGTTAATTTTATTAAAATATTATACTTCATGATTATAGAATTTAATCTTAATTGGTTTGATAATTATTATGGTAATGGTTTTTAAACCACTAACCAAATACACTTTGCCTCAAATTTCAATTCTTCAACTTTCATAAAAAAATTCCAAATTAAAAAAAAAGTAGAAAGATACATGTGTAGATTGTTTAAACTGGGGTGAGATTCACACTTGTAGTCATTGGATATGCTCTCTCTCCTGTCTCTCTCTTGTGTTTTTCAAATTGATGGCTAAGATTAAATGAAGCGAATTTTTGGAATGAAAAATACTTACCACACTCAATAATTCTCCTACCCATATAAATAAATAAAAATCCTAATCTAACCCATATACCCTCTCACCACCGTTCACCTCCCTCTCCCCTCCTCCTTCTCTCCCGCAGACGGCACCACCCTCCGGCCCTGCCATTGCCTACTGCGCCCTCTACCGTCGTCGCCTCTGCCGTCGTCCCGCAACCGTCCACCTCCCTCCGCCTCCCTCCACCCCATGTCGTTGTTGTCTCTCTACCGTCTCCCTCCTCTGTCGCCGCCCTCATCCACTGACACCGTCGTCGCTTCCTCTGCTCCCTTCTTCTGGTATGCGTCCCTCTCCCACTATTTTTCCTCTCCTCTCCTTCGCTTTTTAGATCTGTAAATTTTTTATTTTCATATTTGGTTTTTCCTAGTGGTAGTGATTTTCATGTGGTAGCGTCTCGGATGGAGAAATATCTACCACTACCAGGTAGTGATTTTTTCGAGTGGTACGCTACTAGTACAGTGCTACTACTACCAGTGGTAGTAGTAGCACTGTACTAGTAGCGTACCACTCGAAAAAATCACTACCATTAGACTAATGGACATATACATTTTTGCAAGTTGCCGGAGGTAGTCAACCAAAGAGATTTTGTCGGAAGAAGTCTGTCGAAAGAATTTAATCGAAGAAAAGTCTGTCGGCCGAAGCGGAGTGGCTACCAAAAAAGGAAGAGAGAGATAAATGTATTTATTGTAGGATTTAATTTTCAAAAAAAACATGTATTTAGTTTGGATTTTAAATTCCAATGTGCAATTAATACAAAAACAATAATTAATAAAATTTTATTTTTGTCATACCCAAATTGGCCTTGGTTTTGAAACTCACAACCCCTTAGAAGAAGTGACGCTATCCAACCCCGTTTAAACTACATACAAATTGTTTATGAAAAGAGACTGAATTTTAAGGAGGATATCTTTCACTTTTCTCTTTAGGGTGATAGACCGCTTGGAGGTTGGGATTTCAATTGATCTATTTAGCCAATACATGTAATGTTAAGATTAAGTATATTTTGGTTAAATTTATAACAGAATACATGTATTACCTTTTTCTGAACCCACCTACAATCACTCAAAATGAGTGATTATGAATCTCTACCAAAAGGTGAGATTGTGAACAATGGCTTGCCTACCCTCAACTTTTTTTATTTATAACAAAACACAATCTAAACCGCCGAACGAAGTATTTTTCAAATTCATACATTTCATCAATACATCAAATTACAATGCATAAATTGATTAAATACATCAATTTGGAGAATCCCAACCTCCCAATGACCCCTAATTTAAAGTGCACCTAATTGACCAATGGATTACAATCTTTTGGCAAGAGCATACTTTTTTCTCTTGTTAGAAAAAACTATTCTTAAATACTTGCCAATCCGGTTTAGTTCATTGGCTTAGTCAAGCAAGTGAGTTGAGGGTTAATGGTTCAATGATTTTAGCTTGAATATATATAAAAAATTATTATATTGTTTATACATTTATAAATTATATCAAATTTCATCTAACATATAACTAATAACACACTTGATCTAGTTTTCTGCGCCGAGAAACTCGGAGCGGCGGGGCGCCAGCCAACAAGAACCAAACGGGGGTGTGCGGAGGTCTCCGCCGACCACCTCATCTCCGAACGCGAAGGGAGACCGGGAGACGCAACAACCAAAAAAGAAGGCTAAGCCGATGAGGAATAACCCGATGTTTAGCGATGAAGATTTGATGGAGGAAGCAGCATCCCCAACGTCGGGAATAAATCTTTCCCCTTAGAGAGAGCAGAAGAAGAAGGCATGGACGAGAGGTGGTGCTCGTAAGCTGTTCAACGACCTGCATGCGGAGGATGATTGGTATGTCGCGGAATCAGATTCTGAAGACGTAGCTGCAGCTATGCGAGAAGACGTGATGGAGTCTCCAGAGAACAAGACGGCGGACGAAGCCATTCCCCGACCTCTTTACGGGGAGTGGATGACTGTGAAGCCAAAAGGGAAGAATACGGGTGGCAAACAAACTGAGAAGAAGAGTGACGAGAAACAACAACGGAGCTCTCCGCCCACTAGAACAAATGAGCAAGCTTCCGGATCGAGATTCGCTGCACTGAACGTGGAGGAAACTATACAAATGGAAACTATTATGGACGAACCAAGGGACGAGCGTCAGGAACGAGTTGTGATGGAGTCTCCAGAGAACAAGACGGCGGACGAAGCCATTCCCCGACCTCTTTACGGGGAGTGGATGACTGTGAAGCCAAAAGGGAAGAATACGGGTGGCAAACAAACTGAGAAGAAGAGTGACGAGAAACAACAACGGAGCTCTCCGCCCACTAGAACAAATGAGCAAGCTTCCGGATCGAGATTCGCTGCACTGAACGTGGAGGAAACTATACAAATGCAAACTATTATGGACGAACCAAGGGACGAGCGTCAGGAACGAGTTGTGATGGAGTCTCCAGTTGCAGGAAAGGAACAACAAACCCAATCATCTACCCTATCGAACGTGCGGAAGGCCAACTCTCAGGAGGATCGGCCAAATGATGGGGAAAGCACAACGGAACAAGTGGCAGAGACGAGGTTACCTGCTGAGGAGAATATAGTGGACACTTCTCCCCCCTCTTGTCATCCCAGGAAGCTGGCCGCTGAACCTCAAGTGAACATAACGAGATCTTCGAATGGCGGGAATGGGAAGGCGTTAAGGAACATAAATGGCAATGCTAAGCTGAACAATGGTACTAGTGCGCAGCAGGCGAGTCATAAGAAAGGATCGCGACCTAAACCCAATTTAGCTGATGGTGCGGGGAATAGATGAGGATACTATGCTATAACTGCCGCGGACTGGGGAATAAGAGAGCAGTCAA